ATATAAGAAGCACTGGATAAATGCTAGCTCGTTTATACCCTTTCTGAATCCTTAAAAGGCTTTTGGTGGAGTGCCTCATAATTTAGTAGCTAATCGCGTACTGTCTTATATAGTTTGCCCTATTTCTTCGAAGTTAATCATATCTTTCCTATGCATCATAAATTTCATGAAGGAGACCGGCTCCCTTACATTGTACAGAACGTGTCCACAGGTATTCTTTTGCACATCTTTTGAACCTTGCACTTGCTCAGCTCACAGCTGAACATGGACAAGGCACTCTACAACATATATGAACTGATTGATGGCTCTTTGTCAGAAAGATGAATCCCTCCAGAAGTTACTTCAGTGATTGTGAATCATAAAGCTTCACTTTGAAGAAAGAGCAAAGTGTATTTAAACATCCTAAAAGAAAGCTTCTCAAGTTGAGAATTTTTAGTCTGTTAGATTAAATACAAAATGATTATTAATCCTTTTTCATGGGAGCACTCTGGTAAAGTTAAAAAGTTCCTGTGGCACACTGTCCCTTTTTGAAGAGGAAAACACAATACTGTAGCAGTACGTGAAGCCAATTGCTAAGCAACAGAACCAGGTCTGGACTGCCCAGGACTGAAAATTCTTCTTTGTTCAGGATGATGAAGAATTATTAAATGGAAAGTGCTTAATAGAATCTTACCTGCAACAGTAACACTCGTTATTTTTCAGAGCACTAATCAGCAGTTGATAACAAATTTTCACAGGAGACTCTTTGACAGTAGCTTACATTTTCTGTTCTCTGAGTGAAGGAGTTCAACAAGGTTTTGGACATTCATCTTTTGTGGAAGGTATGTTTCTGCGGCCTAGGTTTAATCCAGGACTATAAGAATCCATCTCAAGTAATGTCAATTCCAGTTAATCTTGATGCAAAAGTGTTTGTTGGCATAATTTAACAATGGTCTCCAGACAGCATCATGTTGGGAACTCGTTAGAAATGCAAATTCCCCCGCCCCATTCTGGGCCCTCTGAATCAGAAACCCTGGGGTTTCAGCACCCCATTTTCAGTAGCCCACCTGGTGATTCTAATGACCCTTAAAGTTTGATACCAGGGACATCGAGAGTTAGGATTACTGTGTGAGACATGTCAAAGTAGATAGCAAAGGGCTAAGTTCAGTTTCGTACTAGTGGATCATCTGGAATAACTGTGGAACTGTTGAACCATGTTGAACTGGGGAAGAAATTAATTCAGGAAATAACCATAGAGGGTGAAAAGCGTGTGTAATGAAAGAGATTTTTCAAGGCAGACCACACTTATGCCCTGCTGTAATTGGAGCCGTTTGTAAACACCTTTCACCAGGTACATCTACAGGCAGTCAGTTACCGAAGAGATCATTTACTGAGAATATATAGCAATTTCTTTGTTTTCTCTCCCCAGAGACATTAAGGTGAAACGATGTCTATTGCTCATAACAATGGAGATTGGCAACCTGAAAGGTTTTAAATGAAACAAAATAGAAGTCTAGAAAAAAAAAATATGTGCACATCAATATCATGAAACTCGGCATCATTTTGAAAGTTTGAAATAATGGGTACTAACTCAGGCAGAATGACTGAAAAGGTCATTGCTCAGCTACATATGGAGAATTAAATTTGGTAAATGGTGTAATTTCATTCCATCAGCTACTAGCTCTGCGACAAGTCACTTCACCTCTCCTGTGCCTCCTGCACTACTTTTGTAACATAAGGGGCCATTTCTCAATTCCTTTCCGTGTCCAGAATTCTGTGAATGGATGATACTGCACATTCTGTGAAAGATCTCATTTCTTTTCAGAGAGATATCGTATGTACTAGCTCACTTGACTTTTATGAGAACACAATCCTTCTGTACTGGAGACCTGAATCTTAGAGAGCATGTAATAATCATTGTATAGGGTTCAGCAGAAGGTTCACACATTTAATAATCAACTGACTCTGGACATGCTGTTTTGGGTAATGTCTTGCTGAGCTTGCAGGATGTGCATCATAAGAAGCATATTTTTGTGTGGCCATGCCTTGATTTCTATGTGTTCTCAAAGTGAACCACAACATTCCAGGAAAGATCCGTGAGCTCTAAATTGAGGCTAAGCTGCCATGACCATACTCTCTGGGGTGCATATTTCCAGAGACCTTGACTGGTTGTGAAGGGAATAGGGTATCAGGGGGGCAGTAATTAGGATTTAGGATTTTGGGATAAGACTGACTTATATTTGAATCCTAGCTTTGCCACTTAGCTAGTGGTACCTACTTCCTAAGGCTGTACAAGGATTGAAAAAAGTTAAACGACATGATATGTGTAAAGAATGCCCACAGTTCCTGGAAGGAAGTAAGTGTTCAATAATTATTAGCTTAAAAAATTAAGGTTAGAATTGTTGAGGGCAATTGGATCATCCAAAGCGGGTCTCAGTGAATATGTTATTTTACATACAAACCTGTGTTGTTTTGCATTCTGCTTATCCTCCATATACAGTTGTGTCTTAGGTTTACTGACTAATTGACTATTTATTTATTTATTTATTTAGTGTGAGAGAGAGAGAGAGCAGGGGAGGGGCAGAGGGGGAGGAGGAGGAGGAGGAGAGAGAGAGAGAGAGAGACAGAGAGTCCCAAGCAGGTTTTGCACCGTCAGCACAGAGCCTGACGTGGGACTTGATCTCATGAACCATGAGATTATGACCTGAGCTGAAATCAACAGTCAGACGCTTAATCAACTGAGCCACCCAGATGCCCTGATTCATTGACTTCTTAATTCAAGAACCATTTAGGGGTGCCTGGCTGGCTCAGTTGGTAAAGCATGTGACTCTTGATCTTAGGGCTTGTGAGTTTGAGCCCCACATTGGGTGTGGAGCCTACTTAAAAGAAAAAGAAAAAGAGGGGCCCCTGGGTGGTTCAGTCAGTTGACTTGACTTCTTGACTTTGGCTCAGGTCAGGATCTTGTGGTTCTTGGGGTTCATGAGTTCAAGCCCCACATTGGGCTCTGCGCTGACAGCACGGAGCCTGCTTGGTATTCTGTCTCCCTCTCTCTCTCTGCTCCTCCCACACTTTCTCTCTCTCTGTCTCTCTCTCAAAATGAATAGAAATAAACTTGAAACTTTTTTAAAAATACGATAAAAAAAGGAAGAAAATGAACTATTTATTGAGCACCTATTATGTGTCAGACTTTCTTGTAGACATTGGAAACACAGCAGCAAACAAGCTAGCAAAGGTCCTTGCTCTTATGGACCCACATGTTAATGGGGAGAGACAGAAAGAAAGAAACAAATAACTAAGAATAAACAAGCAACAAACAAGAAAATTAACTGATAGTGATAAATGCTGAGAAAAAAATGAAACAGGGTGATGTGATAGAGTCTGGGGAGCAGTTTTAGATCAGGTGTTCAGGGAAGGCCTCTTTGAAGAGGTGACATTTAAAATGTCATGTGAATGACAAGATGGAGCAAAGTTCTAAAGTCTGAGAAAGATAAGATAGCGGTAGTGGTGAGGGTGGAGAGAGACATGACCAAGTTAGGAGATGTGACAATAGAATCAACAGGATTTATTGATGGGTTGGATGGAAGGTGTGAGGGCAAGAGAGGAATCAGAGATGACTCATGGTCTCTGGCCTGATGAGTTAGTGGTACATCTATAGAAGCGAGCAGGTTGGGGAGGAATAGGCTGGGGTAAGAAGAATCAGAAGTCTGGATTTGGAAAGATTGAGTTGCCTGTTGGACTCTGAGTGGAGTTTTCGAGTGGACAACTGGGTACATGAGACCAGAATTAAACGTTTGGGAGTTCTTTTTTTTTTTTTTTTCGCCTTTAGATAATACTTAATGGACTGAGCTGGATGAGAGTACTTAGGGAAATAAGTACAGTCAGAAAAGAGAAGAGGTTGTAGGAGTATTCTTAAAATCTCAGGTACTTATGACTCATAACAAAACTTCAGAGTAATAACACTCTTGTAGAATTAAAATGAATTGAAAGGAATTTTTGACTTTCTTACATTCTTTGATATATTTTGGGGGCCAAAAAGAAGTCTGGTTTTAATACACCTGTCTTATATTTGCATTCATTTGACCCATGTTTTTGAGTGCCTACTGCCAGGTGCCTTGTTAGGGACTATGTACAAAATGAGATCAAAAGAAACCAATCATGTTATTGGTGAAACATATTTGCTGAACACATGCTGTGTGCATTGTACTAGATGATTTGAGTATAGACCACAAAAATGAAAAATCAATTCTCTGTTCCCAAGAGAAGACAGTCTACCACGGCCGCTCAAGAGGAGAACAAACCCCTCAAAAGTCGCAAGGAAAGTGTGTTTCTTTTTTCTTCTACATATGGATGGCCTTTGGTCATTGGCCATTAGGAGGTCTATGTGGGCCAAATGAATTTGGTGAAGTAGGCCACAGTCTAAAACCCATTTTGGTTTCCATGCAACACCCAGTGTTCATCCCAACAGGTGCTCTTTGACAATAAATTTCATATTAGAAATACATAAATAAATAAGTCAATAAATAAATAATAAAATAAACAAAACCCATTTTGTTTTTTCCCCTCCTTTCTACTTCTTGTCTGTGGGAAGGCTTCCATGAGTGGAAAGAAGCTTATTTCAGCCCATCTCATACTTGTGGTTGACTCGTGCTCCAAGCACCTCAGCATTCACATCCTTATTATCTGGGGACAAGAGACATAGAGAATCCATCAGCACTTTTAATGGCTGATTTCTTTTCCCCATTAAATCAAGCACAGTCTCTCTGAAGAACAGTTCTAATGCTTTCAATATTGATATCCACTGTTTGTTCAGAATTCTATACTTCCTCCATTGCTAGTGGATGGATTGGATCTGTGCCCACTTATCAGTGAAAATGGAAAGGAAAGGAAGCACCTCTTCTGGGCTAATGGTTGTATTTGCTTTATGAAGATGCAGCTGAATGTTTTGGTGGATTGTTGTCAGAAAGAACAGCCTAGCATCAATTATGTGGAAACAAAAATCATTATATTTAGTAGTCATTGTCTAATTTTTAAATGGACTTTATTAAATAAACCCAGATAAGAGCTTAGTTCATTCAAATACCTGGTACATTTTCTGATAAATCATCCTGGCAGACCCATTGTGATGATGAAGTTCTGCTTGGAAAGAAAGACTCAGTGAGTTCCATGTGAAGTTTTTTGTGGTCAGTGTGGTCAATTGGTAATGGAAATACTTACATTTTTGGGGGGAGATAGGGTCAAATAATTTTTTGGTGCCTTATGATGTCAGATTTTGTCATCTCAGCCAAATGCTTGGCCATACGCTTAAACAATTTCAAATTTGTGTTGTTGCTGTTCATTGAAAAACGTCTTAACCCTTGTCCCCTGATATCCATATAGTTTGCTTCTGTCACTTTCCTTGAACAAGAATAGAAGGTTAGTTACTAAGTTGTTCATCACAAACGTTAATTCCGTTAATTCCTTATGTCTGCTATTGGAAGTGTATGGATTTCTCCTCAAATAATGATACATGATCTGAGCCCAGTAGATATTCAGCAGAGAATTTAGCTATTAAATTTTACCATTCAGAAGACTTCGGTTTGATTGTTAGCTAGTACTTGAGAGTCTAAATGACACTCATTTACTACTTTTTTTTCAGTCACTGCATTTAGTCATATCACCAGAAAGTCATTCTGATATTGTATTAGTTTGTGTTTTAAGTTGGGTTAATACCGGGAAGGTACATTTGAAGAACATTTTGGTATCTTATACAAAATAACACAGAGAAATCATAGTATTAATTTATCTAGTGTTCCTTATATAAAGAATCACAGGAAAAATTCCTGCTTGAAACCAGCATCAGAGAAATGTTGGTCTTTTCAGATGACTCAGTGTATTTTCTGAGATGGGAACCATAGTACAAATGGTTTTCTCTTTCTATCATGAATGCCAGGAAACTAAGAACTTATTTTAGCATGTCCTAATATCTTTAGGTATCCTAATATCTTAAACTTTTAACTGGCTTCTTATCCATCTTTCAAATGTGTGTAGTACAGGTTTATAATAATTCCAAGTTTTTTGAAGAAAAATAGGAGGCATTCCCCTCCCCTGGCCCCCTGACTGGGTTTTCTTATCAAAACACTCTTCCTTCATTGAACTTGTAATATTTTGTAAATATTAATTATTATTTGCCCTTGTTTATGTTTGTCTCCTTCTCTAGACTCTAAGCTCCATAAGACAGAGACCATATCTCTCTTTCAGTATATTAGCCCTACCTGATCCTAGCACGTAGTAAATGCTCAATAAAAACTTGTGGTCAAATTATGAATGAATTGTAGTAATCCTAGTACTATCAATCACTTAGACTATCAAGTCTTAACATACTTCGAACATCTAGAAATGTTGTTGGGATATTACATAAGTACATGATAATTTGCATGATAATGTATTCAGCTCTTTTAAAAGGTTTACAATTTAGATTTTTATAAACTGTCCCAGAATTTTTACAATAAGCAATAATTAACCTAAGATCAAAACAAAATATTAGAGAATTTAAGGAATCATTAGAATCCATAACTAAGTAAAAGAGGTATCTATTAGTACACACGATTCATGTAATATTATGTACAGCATTTTACGAAGAGTTATACAGAAAAGGGGACAGCATGGTTGCAGATTCCAAGTATAGTTTTAAGATTTACAGTTAGAGAGATAGATGCTTATATTTCCTTTGACAAATTCTGTTTTTAAGTCTTTTTTGGGGGGATGGGAGGGTATGGGGAAGAGTAGGTACATGAGATTCCTGTTGCGTGTTCAGAAAATTGCAAACATGAAATGAGAAATAAGAATTCAGGTTCAGAAGTCTTCATACTTACCTGATGATGGGCAAACCTTTCACCATCTTCCTTTTCTACTTCTTTCCTCTTCTCTTCTGTACCTTTGTTCTTCTCTTTCTTCAGTTGTCCTATTTCCTTAGTCTTCTCTGATCTGTGACAGTTTCATGACTGTGACACTCTGACTAGTGATTGTCAGATGTTTTGTGGAAGGTCTCTCGGTTTGGGTTTGCCTGATGTTTCCTCATGAAAAGACTGAGATTTTGAACTTTGGGGAAGGACCGCAGAGGTGGTATGTCCTTCTTGTCACATCATGTTGGGACACGTGATGTCAATATGATTGGTTTCTTGTGGGGTTTAACCTTGATCATTGGGTTCAGGTGGTGCCTGCCAGGTTTCTCTGCTATGAAGTTTTTTTTTTTTTTCTATATTGGTTAGAAGTGCTGTTGTACCCAGATTTCCTGAGATATAATTGACAAATAAAAATTGTTTACATTTATGGAGCACATGTGATAGTTTGATATATGTATACGTTGTAGTTGTTTACCACAATCAAGCTTATCGATACATCCATCATGTCACATAGTTATTTTTTTTTAATGTATGGTGAAAACATTTAAGATCTACTCTGATAGCAAATTTCAAGTATGCAATGTAGTACTAATGATAGCTACCATACTCTACGTTAGATCCCCAGAACTTACTCATCCTTCATTATTCAAACTTTGTAGCATTTGACCAACATCTCCTCATTTTCCCCTCTCCCAACCCCTGGCAACCACCATCATACTCTCTGTACGTATGAGTTTGACTTTTTCAGATTTTGCATGTAAGTGAGATCATGCAGCATTTGTCTATGTCTGGCTTATTTAGCTTAGCATAATATCCTCCATGTTCATCATGTTGTAGTATACGACAAGATTTCCTTCTCTCTCTCTTTCTTTCTGTTAAGGATATTTTTTAGATCAGTTTAAGATTCACAGCAGAACTGAGGGAAAGGTATAGAGATTTGCCATATACCCTGTACCCCATGCATATAGAGACTTCACCATTATCAACATCTTCTTGCAGACTGGTATATTTGTAACAAGTGATGACCCTACGTTGACACATCACCATCACCCAAAGTTTATAATTTACCTTTGGGCTCACTGTTTATTTTTTTTTAATGTTTTTTTTTGAGAGAGAGAGAGACAGAGACACACAGAGAGAGACAGAGAGAGAAGGAGATACAGAATCCAAAGCAGGCTCCAGGCTCTGAGCAGTCAGCACAGAGCCCAATGTGGGACTTGAACCCACAAACTATGAGATAATGACCTAGGCTGAAGTCAGATGCTTAACTGACTGAGCCACCCAGGTGCCCCCACTCTTGGTGTTGTACATTCTATGGGTTTGGACAAATGTATAATGACATGGATCCATCATTATGGCATTGCATAGAGTATTTTTGCTGCCCTAAAAATCCTCTGTGATTGCCCTATTCATATTCCCCTCTCAATCTCCTGGCAACCACTGATCTTTTTACTGTCTCCATAGTGTTGTCTTTCCTAGAATGTCATAGAGTTGGGACGTACAGTAGGTAGCCATTTCTGATTGGCTTCTTTCACTTAGTGATATGCATTTAAGGTTCCCCCATGTCTTTTCGTACTTGATAGCTCATTTCTTTTTTTAGGGATGAATCATATTCCACTGTCCAGAAGTATGATGGTATAATCAGCCATTTACCTGCTGAAGGACATCTTGGTTGCCTCCAAATCTGGCAATTATGAATAAAGTTCCTATAAACATTTGTGTCAGGTTTTTGTGGGAACATGTTTTCAACTCCTCTCAGTAAACACCAGGGAGGACAATTGCTGGACCATATGATAAGAGTATATCTGGTTTTGTAAAAAACAGCCAAACTGTCTCCCAAAGTAGCTCTACCATTGGGCATTCCCACTAGCCATGGATGAGAGTTCCTGTTGCTCAACATCTTCAGCATTCGGTATTGTCACTGTTCTGGATTTTGGCCATTCTAACAGGTGTGATTTTCTTCTGCTTTAAGGCCAAATATGTGCATATTTAGAATTATATGTACACACACATACACATAATCTCACATTTTCCGTATCCAGTCATCTGCCAATGGACACTTAAGTTGATTCCGTGATGTGGTTATCGTGTATGATGCTGCAATGAACATGGATCTATACTCAGAAGTAGGATTGCTGGATCATATGATAGTTCTACTTTTGATTTTTTTAAGGAATCTCCATACTGTTTTCCATCTTGATGTACTAACAGACTTTTTTTTTTTAAATCAAGAGTTTAAGAGTTATTTTATTTAGTTTCTAAGCTTATGGGATCGATGGAAGCTATCTTGTTAAAATTTCTAATTTTATTGTAAAATGGTAGAGTACATAGTTAGTAAGCTATTGATTTTTTTTGGAATTTATTAAAGTTTCTTTGTGACTTAATTCGTGATCTATTTTTGTGACTGTTACAAGTGTGCTTGAAGAGAATCTATTTTTCTCCATGACTTGATTTCCACATCCATTAAACAGTAAGAAGCAAAAGTGTTCAACTCCTTTGATTTTTGTTTTGAAAGTTGCAGAACCAAAGACCAAATTGAAAGACAGAAAAATAACACATTTGTTCTTTTTGACTCTTTGTTTTGCAAACTAACAATGGGTTTGACACAAGTAAACATGGTAGGAGAAAGAGAAAAAAGAAAATATCTGTCCTTCCTGAAAATAGATTTGTTACCACTGAGTAACAGGTGCTTAATCCTCTGTGGGGGCACATTTCCAGCCTACGGAGAAGGAATAGACAGAGTGGAGGAGGAATCATCTGTGATAGAGATTCTGGTCTGTTTGATTTTTTCGGGTCTGCTGGTCTCAGATATTTATATGAGTGAAACTGAATCTTTGGTGTGCTGCTCAGAAGTATCACTGTATGCTGATGTGGGGTGGTGACCCGTCAATAGGCCAACTGATGGCAGTTGGCTAGTAATCAGAAAGCCAGCCTAGTTGCTTAGGGGGCAGCATGAATGCTCATCTAAATTTGCCATAGGAAGAGGAATTTAATGGTCAAGGGCTTCACCTTCGGGATTTAAGTCAAATTCTTAATAGCCAACCTCTTACATTGTTCACCATTTGGACTCCACACCCCTCAGCTCCTGCACTAACTCATCTCATGCTGTCTCTTACTCTCTTTTCTTCTCTTCTGTGAACTCTTCATGGAACTCACTATTGGCTCCCCACCTCCCCTGGACATCATCATCACTGTCTCCTTCTAGATCCCAGAAGATCTCAAGTCTTTCCAAGTAGAACAAGTCATTAGGAAGTGTTTTAAAGTAGGTAGTTTTATGTGGGTGTGCTTTGTGCCATGTGTTTCAACTTTAGTACATGTTTGAAAATGATCAAAGTTTATAGTTGGAAAAACTACACCCAAAAGTCTGTAACCTCAGCTATTGCTAGTATCACGAGAGGTCTGCACTTTATCTGGCTGAAAGCAGAGGATGTTTCTAATACTTGTCCACATACAAAAGATAAATCTTGCCCAAGAAAGGGGAAAAAAAGGAAAAAAAGAGGAAGAGAGTGAAGAGAGTACTAGGAACTCAGGACTATCAAGAGTAGGAGGTGGCACCAGAATGATCCGCCAATGTTTTGGCTGTCATTAGAATAACAGACTCTTCACCACGCATACTGTGTACTGAAAGGGCATGAAGTTGGAAGGACCTGGTTAGAATTCAGGTTTTTTTACATATAGCTGTGAAATTTTGGCGAGGACATTTGGGCATTTTGATTCTACAGTATTCACATATGTAAAATGCTAGTAATAATACTTGTCACCTATGTAAAAAAATTGTCACTGCTGGTATAATAAAATGGTATATTAGTATAATAACACTTTAAACTGGTTACAAAAATTAGAAGGTTTTGAGGAGGGAGGTTTAGAATTGCTTTCCGCTGACTTGCTTACAAAGATATTTTCATCTTTCACTAGAGGTGTTGGTTGAGAAAACCTTTATAGAAATAGTGATATTTGAGGTTTTTTTTCCTGTTACTATCAACGAATTTTTAGCAGGCATATGACTTTCTGCATATATCACCCAACTGATTTAAAAGTGAATCAATGAATGTATTTATTGATTGCCTCATTTCATAAAAGAATTCAGGAAGGACCCTGATATTGATATTCTGCCATCTTTCTATATTTGGATCATGCATTTGTCTTGCCTTCCAAATGAAAAATGTGGTGAACTCAGAAGATCACCCCCCAGTATCAGCTGCTGTCTTTTTAGAATGTCTTTGCGTTTCAGAAGTTGGAAAACTCCAAACTTCATGCCCCAGACACCTTTGCTGCTAATGTTCTGCATGCAAAGTAGGTTTTACCAATTGCATGCATCAGAGTAAGATTTGCAGGTGCTGTTTTGATGCTGTTGGCAATTACGGCTGTGGAGACCTTGGTTTTTCTGCAGGAGTGTTTCAATGTCCAGTTACTTGCTCTGTCAGTGCTGAGAAGAGGTGGGGACTGTGGAGTGGGGCTTCCTGACGACACCTTCCAAATTGTGGCCATGAGTCAGTTAGGCAATGTTGTTGAGGGAGTCATTTTTGGACGGCCAGGACTTTTCCAGCCTTTCTTGTGAATGTCCCCAATTTTCTGTGGCAAATTCCTTACTGTCTAGAGTAGCAGATTGCTACAACTGAATCATGACTGACTGACTTGTAATCTCTTTGTGGGCAGGAACTCTGATCTAAAATGATATAAACAATCCTACATTTTTAGAGGAGGGAAAAAGATGACAATTAAGTGAAAGTTTTAACAAGATAGTAATACGTGCTACAGATAAAAACAAAGTTGGCATGGAGATGGGGAGTGCAGGAGATGAATGTTGCCATTTTAAATGTTTGTTTATTTTGAGAGAAAAGAATGTGAGCCCGGTAGGGGCAGAGAGAGAGGAAGAGAGAATTCCAAGCAGGCTTTGTGCTGTTAATGCAGGCACCGATGAGGGGCTGGATCCTACCAACCCTGAGATCTTGACCTGAGCTCAAATCAACAGTCTGCTGCCTAACCACTAAACCACCGGCCCCAATGTTGCAGTTTAAAATAGAATGGTCATGGAAGCCTTCTCTGACAAGGTACGCGAATTGTGTACAAGGCCCTGGTGGAGTTCTAGGACTAAAATGCAATTATCCAATTACTCCTTTCCTTAGATAACCCGCTTAATGATGCTACTGTTTTTCCATCTCAAGAGGCTATGTTGTTTACCCACAGTAAACATGGCGAAAAAGGCTTCAATCTGACGCTTGGGTCCCCCAATAAAAATGCTCACAGCGCTTCCTGTGTTTGCCCTCAACAAAGATGGCGATACCACTTCCTGTTCAGGGCTTTCGCCTGCAACAAAGATGGTGCTTATGGTACAGGTTCCCTAACAGTCTGGATTCTGGTTGCGGTTTTTTTTTTTTTTTTTTTTCCTTTCAATATACGTGTTTGCAGACGTAAGTAACAGGAAACCAGAAACCCGTATCCATTTTTTTCTCGAAGGCCCCGCACTGTGGTGTCTGCGGCCTGGGCACTGCTTGGCTCCCCCGCCCACGTAACTTGTTGGCGGCGTTTCCGAGCCCGACCGGGTTGGGGTGGCGGTGGGGGGTGCCGGGGCCGCTCCCGCTTCTGTTCGCTGTGAAGTTCATTCCCAGCACCCTCGTTTTAGCTTGTCAAGTTGCCCCGAGAATCTCTCATAGTTCTTCACGTTCGTAATACAACAGGATTTCAGCTGGCGAGGCAGGGAATAAAAGTTCCAAATAGGCTCTGGCAGCCAAAAGTGCACACCCTCCCCCTCACCTGCCACCTCTCAGACTTCACCGAGAGCTACTCGACGGGGTGGGGTCGGGTCACCGGCCGGTGGTACTTTCTGTGGGTGCCTGGAAGCCCCATGTGCCGCGTCCTCCCCTCCCCCATCCCCGCCGCTTCTTTACATCCACGGCTTCCGCACCGGCGCCCTGGAGTTCACGGGCAGTGCCTTTATTTATTTTTTTTTAATTTTTTTTCTTCATGTTTTTATTTATTTTTGGGACAGAGAGACAGAGCATGAACGGGGGAGGGGCAGAGAGAGAGAGGGAGACACAGAATCGGAAACAGTCTCCAGGCTCTGAGCCATCAGCCCAGAGCCTGACGCGGGGCTCGAACTCACGGACCGTGAGATCGTGACCTGGCTGAAGTCGGACGCTTAACCGACTGCGCCACCCAGGCGCCCCTCGGGCAGTGCCTTTAAATCGTGCATGGCTACTGACCAGGAGTGGCGTGTGGACATTTTTTTCTTGTAGAGAAAAAGAAGATCCCCATTAAATGTCCCATGCGTGTGTGGTCCTGGCAGTGTAATCATAGGGAGTCGGAATTCTTAGAGGGAAGGGGTGGAGTCTGTGACCATATGTAAGGTTTATCATAGACTGGGCATACACAATATTTTTCTTGAAGGTGATGGTGTATAGGGCTTTTTTTTTTTTTTTTTTTTTTTAGGGGAAAAGAACCTTAGACTCACTGGTACCTACTGGGCTCTGGTGCTCACTCCCATTGTGGTACAAGTTCAGCAAATGCCCATGGTCAGAAGGGCACCTTGCATGCGTATTGGCAGTTAACTCTGGTATTGGATATCTCTGATGAAGGCAATGTTAAAATAAAGCCACTGTTTCTTTTTAAGTATGTTAAAATGAAATGCTGCTCTGTAATTCTCCGATCAATGTTGCTTTTTTTTTTTTTTTTTTTTTTAAGCAGGGTCTCTGACCCACGTTTTTCCAAATCTCTTTATCAAGCAAGGAATCGAGCTAGGACCCCACTGTGAGGAAAGTAGAAACAGAAAAGATGATTCATGTTCAGGGTTGTTCGTTATGTTCGGAAACGTTCAAGATTAATTTGCCTTGACTTAGCAGCCAGGGACTATACACCGTGGTCTGACACTCGGCTAAGATTCAAAGAGGTGCCTGACCTTAAGGAGTTTGCCTTGCATGCAGGACACTGTCTTTAGGGGTTGGTCAGCGGTCCTGTAATCTGAGCTGTTATTCTGTCTTTTCTCAGGGAGAGATGGAGGCTAGAGACAAGCAGGTGCTTCGCTCCCTTCGCCTGGAGCTGGGTGCCGAGGTACTGGTGGAGGGACTGGTTCTTCAATATCTTTACCAGGAAGGAGTCTTGACGGAAAACCACGTTCAGGAAATCAAAGCTCAAGCCACAGGCCTCCGGAAAACAATGCTGCTGCTGGATATCCTACCTTCCAGAGGTCCTAAAGCATTTGATGCATTCCTAGAGTCCCTGCAGGAATTTCCCTGGGTTAGGGAGAAACTGGAGAAGGCAAGGGAAGAAGCCATAACTGAGCTGCCTGCAGGTAGGCCTCAAAAAGATCATTTGATTTCAGTTGCAAAATTGTTGAAACTGCCCTTTGGATGTGAAGTTGGGGTTTTAGGCTGGGAGTGGGTAAGGAGTTTGGACTGAAAGCACATGGTATTGGAGGCACAGGATGAGGAAGTGGAATTAGGAAGTGCAGGGAAGGAAGGAAGAATGAACCATGATTGCGAGGGTGGGAAGGGAGGTCAGAGAATACATTTAGAAATGCTTCCAGGGAAGCTTGGCAAGTCACTTGGGAGGCATGTTCTCATCTGAGAGCCAGGTCATATCTCAGCCCTTGGCATTGGGAGCCATTTGGAAAGTGCAGATGGGAAAGGCAGGCATTAGGCCCACTGATAACTGATTCGTGGGGTGCCAGAGCTGCTGGCTGGAAAAGGTCAGCTTCGGGAAGGAGGAGACAGCCTCTAGGAAGGCACGCCTTGCACCTGTTCCCTAAGCTGTCCTACATGGCCAAAGGGGATTATTTGGAAAGCTGGTTAAGTAAGTTTTTAAAGGTTACGATTTAAAGTCGTTCTTTTTTGTTTGGCTTTGTTCAGACACCCGGAGTATTTAATGTTAGAGGGTCAGTAGTTTGGAGAGGGTCTCATTTCGATTTTAAGGTAAGTTGGAAGCTATGGAGAAGAGAAACAGTCCTGGTGCTATTAGCATGGCTTGTAGCAGGAAGATGTGCTATGAAACACTTTCCCTCTAACACTTCCATGACGTTTACTGTTTTACAAAGAAAGAGGAGCAGAGAATTGAACTGGCAAAAAAATAAAAATAAAAAATAAAAAATAAAAATAAAAATAAATCTATACATAAATAAAATAAAAACAAATCAATTAAAAAAGAAAGAAAATAAATAAAAAGTTTCAAGTTGACTCGCAAATTTCTAACAGGAAGTCAACCTTCTCTTTAGTTTTTAAAAGCAGTGATAGAACTCCTCTGAGACGGTAGTCCTCAGACTTTGTTGTTGCAGTTTTAAACATACCAACCTAACTGGTTAAAAAACAAATAAGGAATAAAAGACCTATCTTATTATTTTTGCCCCATGGACCTCATATTTTATTTTTGTTTTTTTTTGTTCATGGACCTCATATTTTGAATGATTTTTCAGACCACACATACTAAGTAATCATGATTAACTCTTCTATTTTTATTAATGGCATATGTCTGAATATCTGCTCTGCATGAGATAACCGCTTAATGTAAGAGGGCTTGGTTAAATCCTAGTGGAAACAGCAAACATATTTTCATTTTCTAGCATGACCAAATTATAGGTAAATGTATGTTTTAGGCATTCTGAAATACTGAAAATAGCTGTCCTTTGAGGACCACAGGAATTCTCAAATTCGACTCTCCTTACAAAATTAAATACTCCAGGTATGTGAACAAATTGAAGCTGAAGTGTCTAAGACGTATCTACCACTTTACTGAAAACAGAATAAATAACATAGAACTGGGGACACGTGAAGAAAAATAGGGTATCCGGTGTCTTTTCCTGGTATTTGACTTTGAGATTCCTCTTTGCACTAAACAGTTGGAAACAACAAAACAGGCAAACTGAGAGCCGGTTGCTACCAAAATATTTCATTTAATTTTACAACCATTTGAGGTGATGTAAGTGATGTGAGGTGATGTAAATTGTCCTGTTGTATGTTGTTCATAGAGGTGTGACCCTATTTTCATTTCTTCAGATTTATTCAGAGAACAAGAAAAAAATTATGATTTATTTTTACCAAATGGTGAAAGTTACACAGAAGCCGAGAGCAAGATAGTTTTTTTTTTTAAAGTAAGCAGAATGAAACAGTTTAACGTGAGAAAAAATTGAATGTGTCTGTGTGAAAAATAATATCGATTTGTTAATTCTGTGGAAGTGTTCAAATGAACGATAGGTTGGCTACTGTAGACATTGAATACTCTTAACTGTCCTACTTTTTGTTGAGCAACATAGCTATTGAAAAATGTTTTGAAGGGAGAGCTTGATTTACATGTATTTCTCTATATCTTCTACAATGATAATCACATAAACTCACTTTTAAAATAACTTTTGTTAATTATTGAGTATTTTAAGCAAGATTATAAAATATAAGTAAGGTGTAGAGAAAAACGGCACAGAGAACACCTGCTTCCCCATCGCTCAGTTTTTTTAAAAAATATCACAAGGGCGCCCGGGTGGCTCAGTTAAGCGTCCGACTTTGGCTCAGGTCGTGATCTTGCGGTTAGTGAGTTCGAGCCTGTGCGTTGGGCTCTGTGCCGACAGCTTGGAGCCTGGAGCCTGTTTGGGATTCTGTGTTTCCCGCTCTCTCTGCCCCTCCGCCACTCACGCTGTCTCTCTCTCTCTCTCTCTCTCTCTCTCTCTCTCTCAAAAATAAATATTTAAAAAAAAAATCACCATTGCCTTTGAGGACCCTGGATGCTCCTCCTAGTCCTAGCTCAGCCCCAAAGCCCACTTACTGATAAATCCTAGATTTGGAATTTATCACTCCCTTCTTTACTTTGTAGTTTTCCCTCTCATAAAAATCACTTTTAATATCCACATGTATGGAAAGTCCACTATACCAAAAGTTTTAGCAAGATATATAAAGATACAAATTTAAAAAATATATAAAATGTGTGTGGGAGGGTAAACGATGGAAGAGATGATATATTTTAAAGGAGCTGTTAGTTAATAGCCTTCTCTTATTTGGGACCTTAAACTTTCAGTGTTTAATTAAGTTGATGGCAATATTTTAATTCTATAGTTAATTGGGACTTAATTAATTGAAAACCTACATACACACACACACACACACACATATATATGTATATATATATATATATATGTATATATATATTTATTTATTTATTTATTTATTTTAATCCTGGAAAGAGTATCAGAGTTGAGATGCCTTCAATTTCATGTTCCCACAAAAACACAGATGGACCCAGAGGTCTATTTCCCCCGGACCCTGTGCTTTTCCAGTGTTGTAAGAGAGTAGTTTCAATAAACTTTTAAGGAGTCCATTTCAATCTTGTAAAGGCATTTTTTGAATTTTGAGGGATTAAACTGTCGGACAATGTGGAGCTTATATATTCTGTGTAATACATTAACCTCGTCTGATCTTTTACTCACTTTGTTGTTAGTAATTGATTTGTGTAGGTTTGGTGGTCTCCTCTTAGGAGGCCTGAGAACAAATGGGCTGAAATACCTATTTCTCTTTGGCCAAGAGCCTGCAACTTCTCCAAGAAAGAACTGATTTCATTTGATTAAAAAACATTTTTGTTTTGGTCTTCTCCAGGAATCCTGGTTTTCCCTTTGCTTGTTTAATTTCTGTGTTTCGCTGTAAATTCTGAGCTGCCTCAGAAGGCCTTATTTGGTGATCGATCCTAGTTAGTTGGTTTTTATTTATATTCTGGGTGTAATTTTTTAGAGAAAAATCGAGTTGTATCTTAATCCCCTCTGGTCTCTTAAATCCCACCCTTATCAAATCCAGAAACATGAAGAAATACCTTAAAGCTTTGATTCCTTCAGTCTGCCTAGATGATAGGTTTTCCTATCTCTCTTAAAAAAAAAAAAAAGTCTAAGATGTTAATGGATAATTGATTTTGTGTTTTTCTCACCTTGTAAGGACTCTTAATATTTTAAAAAAGGATTTCTGGCAATAAAATTACTTAATTCAGCTTGGCACCGTGGAAGGGACACTTCATAGTGTGTCCCTTGCTAGCCAAGGTCACACAGTAGACAGTAGATCAGCTGGCAGTCCTCCCTGGGCTCCTGTCTGGTCTTTTAGGAGATGAGAACAGGGCTGAATCTGGATGTAGACAGCATGTGCCCGCCTGCCTGGCTTCCTACTGCTCATGGGCCCTGTCTGCTGACAAGCTGTCTCTAGTGCTTGAGCTAATCTGGATCTGGAAAGGAGGTTTATGGGCAGCCCCAGTCCCACCAGCTGGTAGGACTTAGCCTAAGTCACGGTGGGAGGGACTCCTGGGCCCCGGGACTCTCTGTTCTAAGGTGTTGGCCCTGTTTGTGGGACTAGGTCTCTGCTGTGATTCTCACTTAACAGTCGGCCTGGCAACTTTGCCTTTAACTCCAGTCTTCTGTTAGACTTGGGAGTGTTTTTCTCCCCCCTCGTCCGGAGGCTGGATTCCTGCTTTATGTCCTCTTAGCCACTGGCAAGGATGAAGGACAGCAGTCTTGGAACACAGCTCGGTGCCTCATATGTTAGCATCGGCTGCTTCAACTCTCTAGCCTCCTGAGGCTATTTGCTTCAGCTTTGCTTGAGTTTGAGCTGGTCCTCGCCACTGACCCTATGCCCTGACACCGTGGCCGCCCTCACGCCCTGCCCCGCAGGACGCAGGACGGGCCTGTTTCTCCTCTACCCACGGGCTCCAGGGCTCTGTCTGTCCCTTTTGGAATATGACCGTGCTGAGGCACATCGGCTACCCTCTCAAGATACACTCTGGCTCTCAGATGTATGCTTGGATGCGTCTGAAGTTACTGAGCGATAATGGCAAAAATCTCAGGGATTGTAGTAGGTTTGTTGGAACAATTTCTAGCCTGGGATTCTCCGGTCGTTACCATGAACGAGCCCTATTCTGCATATGTAAGTTCAGCGTTGATCTCAGTTTTTCCAGCTTGTGGTCTATCCAGGCACTTGTGTGGCTGAGTAGAGTTCACTTTATGGCATCCTGTGTGCTCGAGAGGGAGTGGTGGGTCAGCATCCACGGTAAGACCCTTTGCTGTGGTGAGGGCGGAGTCTACAGAGAGCCCCATCGTGACCATCGTGTCCTTCCTGAGGGCCAACTAGATGCCAGGCGCTAGGAAATAAAGTCACGTGAAGGACCTCCACATCAACTGAGGGGATTCACTGTTCATTCAACAAATATTGAGCGTTGACATTAGGTGCTAGGATATTATGGGAAACAAAGCCCGTGTGCTTCTGGAGCTCACTGTATTCTGTATTCTGACGCGGATAGGCAACAAGCAGATGAGGGGATGCTGTATGTGTGTGTGTGTGT